CTCATTTACTTCATCTAAATTCAATAAATAATTTAAATAACTCATACCATAAATTGATAATCTATAACGAAATTTGATTTTTTCTCTTTTATTTGACGGCCAAAAAATATTAACTCGTAATTCTTAACAAAATAAAATTTTATTAAGAATTATAAGCTAATGTTGTAATTATGCATAAAATAATTTTTTTATTTGCTAACATATCCATCAATGCTTTCATATTCAAAATTTTTCGTAATATTTGCATATTTCGAAACTTTTAATTATGAACAAATAGAATGTGCAAATATTATTGTGAATAAATAATGCACAATACTAATAATTTCGATTCCTTTGTTCAACTTTAATCAATCCGGAATATTTTGAGTCGTTCATAAGAAAGAATGTAAGCGATATGCTTGAAATGCTGTATAGCTACTTTTAACAAAAAATGAATTTCTTGTTTTCAACAGTTTTATAAAATAAAATTGATACAAAAAATTTATAGAAAGAAAAATAATATAAAAAATAACATATTATAAGCAAAAATTAAACAAAAAATTAAGCACATCATTTTTCCATTCTTAACTGTAGTGTGGAATTGAAATGAAAAAGCGAAATTGTTTGGAAAGGAATTATTTCAATCGATACTTTATATCATCCCTTTACCATTTCACTTTTATTTTGTTTACAAAGTGAAATTGTAACTGATAATAAAATAAGAACAGATTAATTAAAATGACAAAATAGTAGGTGTGCTGTATTGATTGTAGAAAAATGTTTCGAGAATGTTGTTGATTGGATGTCTGAAGTCCATATGTTTTATCTTTGTGCTCTCATTTTAACTGGATTGTAAATTATTCCAATTCTTTCTTTAATGCTTATTTTTCTATTTCTTCAAACATAAATAGTATCAAAAAGAGATGAAATTTAGTGAAGTAAGTTTTCAAAATTTAATTTTACAAATACAAATTTCTGGAAAATGCTCCACCCTGAATGATTACAATGTTAATTGCAACAAATAGATAATTGACCAGACAGATATCAGTAGCGCTTAGCTATAGCTATTAATATATACATACATCTAGCCACAGCATCATTTTAAATTTCTTTTAGCTTACAAGCAACTCTTCTTGATTGTTCTTGTCCAACATCCAGATAACATCTTATCCGTTACTTTCGCCCGGATGTATGTTACTTCAAATATTTGTTATCAACTTTTCAAATCTTTACTATTTCACTATTTCTTTATGAAATATGTTCATATTTATAGTTGCCACTTATGAATCTATTAACTTTTCATGTCATATTTATCCTTTTTTCAAATCCATTAAAATTCTCAAAAATTTATTGCAAAGGATTTTAAAATCTTTTCAGTTCAGTAAACCATTGGATAGTGAAAATTTATAGCATTAATTATACCATTTCAACTAAGAGAGTTGTAATTCTTGTGCTTCTTTATTTGATGGAGACTTCTGGAAGAGTTCCTCGGAAATGCGCAGATTTTGGCACCGTAAGATTTCTGTTCTCAAGAAGAGGAAAGGATTGTGACGCATAAACTTTTGATGCTTTTTCAAACATTAGCTTTCTTTTGCAGAATTTCCTACGACTTATAATAACGCAATGGACCATCTTAATTTCCAAGCACTAAACATTATCCATTAAAAATTAACAATTTCCCTCAATTCCCAAGCCTAAAAATTAACAGTACAGAAATGAGTTCATTTTTGTAGGCAACTTCGAACTGTACCACCATTTGACGCATTATCTCTTCCAGTAAGATTAAATAATGATGACATTTGTATATCAATAATTTTTATGACACTATCGTCAAAATGTATCGTCACTTCATTAACCATACCACTTATCCATCAAAATTCATAAAATTTGAAAATATTTCGAATTCTTCGATTAATTTGAGTAATTTTACAAAAAAGCAATTGTTGCATTTCAAGTATTGATACCAATGACGACGATAAATGTGGATATTTCAAACAGTTTAAAAAAGATTGATCAATGGGATTGGCCACTTAATAAGGATGATGGCATGGTAAAAGTTGTCAACACCGATGAAAAATTTGAAGTGATCCTTGAAGCTGTTTATTTCCAACCGAAAGAGATCGAAGTAAGTCTGTTTACATGACTTTTGCTTTCTCCGAGAATTTTTCACATAAAGTCAATTTTGGGAATTTAGCTCGAAAACCCACTTTACTTCAAATGTTGCATTTTCAAAAGACAATCAATCACCCTATGTTTAGGTTAAAGTAATTGGTGATCGGTTAGTTGTCCGATGTTTGCGAGAACCAAAAGAAGGACAATTCGGTGATATTAGACGAGAAATCAGCCGAAGCTACAATCTTCCCCCAGACGTTGAAATCCAAACATTAAAATCGAGACTCACAACCAAAGGCCATCTTGTCATCACTGCTGATAAGAAAAAATAAAGCATCCATTCATTATTATCACCAATACTTTTATACCCTCTAAGCACCAATTTAACCCTGTAAAACAAGAAATTTTTGTGATTAAAGGAGTTAGAATACCGTTATTTAATAGGAATTTCTTAGATTTGTAAAAGACAACACTGTTAAGTAAATAAGGAAAATAATGAATGATATGGGACCCATAAATGTCTCTCATATCAACTCTCACTCTTTATTAATAAAGCACATTTGTAATATATGACAGTATTTTGGTAATATTTTTGTGAATGCAATTACTGAACTCGATTTTGTATTTCTTTAATTTTTACCAAAATTACTGTTACATTACACTTTTGTTCAGAAATTGAATAGCACAGCTTATTGTTTTCCACAATTTCATATGCAAATTTTTTTCCACATTAATTGCAATTATATTCCAGAATCCATTAGTCAAGGCAGAATGATGCAGAATGAAAGCGTATTATTTGATTAAATTTAAGGCTTATTAAATAAAAGAGAAAAGAAGTAACTCAAAATTTAAATTCGCTAAACTTCATGAAAATCAAAAGACAGTTTCATTGTTCACAAAATGCACTTTCGGTAAATACGTGCAAGATTATAATTAGCAACAGTGAGATCGTTAGCGAGAAATAATTTGATAGCATTTGTGATCTTTCTCAATGCTATCTCCCAAGAATATCTCAACTTTTTTATTGAAATCACCCTTGAGGAGCAATATAAATTAAGCAGTATTAATTAATAATAATAAGTGAAAGAATGATGGAGATCCAGCAGAAAAAGATCGAAATTGGCATGTCAAGAAAAATGGCAAAAAGTAACGCATCAATTGAATACTTTGAATCTCAACTACAAAATAATCCATTCCGGTTAAACTAAAAAATAGGTCGAAAATTTCAATCTGAAAATAGATCTTAGCATATTTTTCTCCATAACTTGGAATCTTCTCAACTGTTAATATCTCCATATCGTCTGATGTTGGAATTCTCATTTTAGAAGATACGATGAATTCGATATCTATTAAAAAATGTTCGTCTAATGAAAATTTATGAATCATCTTCCTTAAAAAAACAATTCTAAATGTCAATACATAAATCCAGTACATGTTAGAAAGAGTGGAAGAATAACAAAAAGTTTTTGCATTTTCAGCTGATAAATATCAGTAATTATAGAGAGGAAAACATGACTTTTTCACTTATAAATAAGAAATCGGAGAAAAATAACTTGACAAATCATGATAACTGATAACCATAAATGGTAATAATCTTAATGAGTCAGTAATTAAACAGACGGAAGCAGTAAGCAGCAAAGAAAGACAATACTGATTTAGTAAGTCAACAGATTAAAGACCATTTAAAAGTGAAACAATGACTAATCAGAATGTTTCGGGAATATCCAGATCGAACTGATGCGACGTGCCTACTTTTGAACCATTTTTATTAATTTTTCCACTTTTTTCATAACTGAGCTCCTGAATGGTTTCCTCATCGACAACGCCAAAACCTTCCTGAACATGAATTGCATAAACAGTAAAATATTTTCACATATTTCGTTCAATGAAGAATGACACCAATTAGAAACATATTTTTCGAATTCATAACAAACGAGTTTTTTAAAAGCTCTGTTAACAAAATTTCGTGAAAGAAATAAACAGCGAAATTTGTATGCGGAAACCAATTTAATGAACAAGTTGAAAATGGTAGAGAGAAAAAATTTGAAATGTCGTAAATGGCGCTTTGGGAGAGTATGGTCCGGCCGCGAATTGACCTTTTCAATTACCGTTGCAAACAACTGGTTCTTTTATTCTTTTAATTTGAGGTGTGATTTTTTTATTGATCGGTTTTGTTATTTTTCAATTAGTTCAGAAAGATTAACGACTGTGTACGATTGCTCTGGACTTGCATATAAATTTTACATTGGAAGTTTATAGAGAAGCTGAACATTTGTTTTATACTCGTTTTTGAGACCCAAACATTGAAATTCAAAGTTTAGTCTCGAGCCTTTCTACTTAAATTATCCTTTTTATTCGTTTGTTCACTGCATTTTATTTCAGCTAACTAGACTTAACTGGAAAATTGGAACATTTTCTTACGTCATCCCGTCCGTTTCACTTTCTCATATAGTTGTGTATTTTTTAGTCATTCCAATGGTGGTAAATGTGTATTCAACGTCTGCAACAGTCGAACAATGTTCACGAAATGAGCTTTTAGCGTTTGTCAATAATTTTTTGCGGGTATGACTATTTTTGCCGAAAAGTTTTGAACATTTTGGATTTAAATTGTTAAGAACTATTATATTATAAATAGCCGATTTTCCGATTTACTGACAGTTCATTGAGCAGCAACAATCAGATTAATTGGGAAAGTTTAACAGTTAGCACTGTGAACTTTCTTTGGCGGATAAATAATCGTATCCGGCAATGAATGGGACGTTGAGAATATGCTGTTCGTGAAGATCAAATACTGGACCGTAATGCTGTATATTCGTGCAAACATGTGTTGAACTTCTGAGAACTTATTAGAAGATTATGGAATTGCGTGTGACGGAAGAAATTCCTTAAATAGTGAGGATGCATAAATTGCTTTTAAACAGATTTATTTGATAGCTCTATGTGTAGAATTACATTTGGTTTGCATGGTTAGTTGTTTGATTTTCAGTTTTTTTTTTTGCAGTCGAATTTTACGCGTATTGAGGAGATGGCTTCTGGTGCTGCTTATTGTCAGTTAACAGAACTTCTCTTCCCAGGAAAAATCTCTTTGAAAAAAGTCAAATGGAATTCAAGAAATGAAGTTGACTGGATTGCTAACTGGCGTGTACTGCAAACAGCTTGGAAGGATCTGGGAGTGAAGAAGGTAAGTGTAAAGCGAAAGGAACTAGGTAATAGTAAAGATGAAAAAAATGAAGCAAAAGTAAGAGATTGATTGTTACCATGAAAATTTCATGTCGTCTACTAGACTGAGTCAGAATTTTAATATTGTATTACTGAATTCTAAGTTCAAACTAAGACATAAGAGTTGGCTTAAGAATATCTGCGATTTACCATAAATGAGGTATTGTTTAATTTTCAACATTTTTTATGTTTCAACTCTTTTTGCATCTTTTCTTTATAATAATGATTATTTCTATTTAACTACGAATTATTCAAAATAGAGTACGCTTACGATATACTTTGATCTCCTGAGTTGTTAGATTATTATTACATATCCAGATACCAGACAATATAATGAATTTAGGGAGTACCGGTCGAGCGTTTGCTGCGGTCTAAATTTCAAGATAATTTCGAATTTTTGCAATGGTTTAAGAAATTTTTTGACGCGAATTATGACGGCCACCAGTATGATGCACTGCGGGCTAGAAATGGCGAAGTTGGTCACCTGTTTCTCTTGATGATTTTTTCCCATTTCCTAGACAGTGTTATTGTGAACAGTGTTTCTATATGCATAGTTGTAGTTGATTTTTACATATTTGCTGAGTATATGAATGTTATGCTTGCAGCCACTTCCGGCAAGTTGGACTGTATCATCTAGATCGGTTGCATCAAAAGCTCCTGCGATTACCAGAAATAATCCTGCTACCATAACGGCAAAAAGTAATAATTTGTCACATTTTGGACTTGACTATTTTTGTGCTGTAGTGCAAATTTTTATATATTTCTTAATTTTTTTATACATTTTTGTACGAATCTGTTTTTAGAAGATCCATGCAGCGCTGGTCGAGGAACTCTAGCTGGAAAAAATTCCATTCCAAATATCGTAACTTTGCAACGTGAATACGAGCACGTGGAAAGTTCTATCGATTTTTTTATTTTACTTACTGTATCTAGTTGATGCTTTAGAACTTATTCTTTAATGTTGATATAAATTAAACGTGATCTGCGTTCGACTTACGTCTGCTGAAAGAGACCTATGATGCAAAGAGATCTACGATGTTAGGCCACTTTTATCTTCTTTAGCTACTACGTATTTTATTTATAAATATTGCTAGTTTGGATCCGGCCAAAAATCTTATTTTTCTTTACGGCAGATATTTTCAGATTCAGCAGTTAAAAGAAGATCAGATAGAACTTTCCAAACAAAGAAATTTTTATTATGACAAACTTCGCAAGGTCGAAGTGCTTTGTCAGAAAGCGGAAAACAATCCCACTGTTTCTCGAGAAGAAATCTTAGAAATTTTATACGAAACTGAGGTGGTTATATTTCTTGATATTTGAATCTTTTTTCTTTTTTGATAGAGCTTTTAAAAAACTCGTTTGTTATGAATTCGAAAAATATGTTTCTAATTGGTGTCATTCTTCATTGAACGAAATATGTGAAAATATTTTACTGTTTATGCAATTCATGTTCAGGAAGGTTTTGGCGTTGTCGATGAGGAAACCATTCAGGAGCTCAGTTATGAAAAAAGTGGAAAAATTAATAAAAATGGTTCAAAAGTAGGCACGTCGCATCAGTTCGATCTGGATATTCCCGAAACATTCTGATTAGTCATTGTTTCACTTTTAAATGGTCTTTAATCTGTTGACTTACTAAATCAGTATTGTCTTTCTTTGCTGCTTACTGCTTCCGTCTGTTTAATTACTGACTCATTAAGATTATTACCATTTATGGTTATCAGTTATCATGATTTGTCAAGTTATTTTTCTCCGATTTCTTATTTATAAGTGAAAAAGTCATGTTTTCCTCTCTATAATTACTGATATTTATCAGCTGAAAATGCAAAAACTTTTTGTTATTCTTCCACTCTTTCTAACATGTACTGGATTTATGTATTGACATTTAGAATTGTTTTTTTAAGGAAGATGATTCATAAATTTTCATTAGACGAACATTTTTTAATAGATATCGAATTCATCGTATCTTCTAAAATGAGAATTCCAACATCAGACGATATGGAGATATTAACAGTTGAGAAGATTCCAAGTTATGGAGAAAAATATGCTAAGATCTATTTTCAGATTGAAATTTTCGACCTATTTTTTAGTTTAACCGGAATGGATTATTTTGTAGTTGAGATTCAAAGTATTCAATTGATGCGTTACTTTTTGCCATTTTTCTTGACATGCCAATTTCGATCTTTTTCTGCTGGATCTCCATCATTCTTTCACTTATTATTATTAATTAATACTGCTTAATTTATATTGCTCCTCAAGGGTGATTTCAATAAAAAAGTTGAGATATTCTTGGGAGATAGCATTGAGAAAGATCACAAATGCTATCAAATTATTTCTCGCTAACGATCTCACTGTTGCTAATTATAATCTTGCACGTATTTACCGAAAGTGCATTTTGTGAACAATGAAACTGTCTTTTGATTTTCATGAAGTTTAGCGAATTTAAATTTTGAGTTACTTCTTTTCTCTTTTATTTAATAAGCCTTAAATTTAATCAAATAATACGCTTTCATTCTGCATCATTCTGCCTTGACTAATGGATTCTGGAATATAATTGCAATTAATGTGGAAAAAAATTTGCATATGAAATTGTGGAAAACAATAAGCTGTGCTATTCAATTTCTGAACAAAAGTGTAATGTAACAGTAATTTTGGTAAAAATTAAAGAAATACAAAATCGAGTTCAGTAATTGCATTCACAAAAATATTACCAAAATACTGTCATATATTACAAATGTGCTTTATTAATAAAGAGTGAGAGTTGATATGAGAGACATTTATGGGTCCCATATCATTCATTATTTTCCTTATTTACTTAACAGTGTTGTCTTTTACAAATCTAAGAAATTCCTATTAAATAACGGTATTCTAACTCCTTTAATCACAAAAATTTCTTGTTTTACAGGGTTAAATTGGTGCTTAGAGGGTATAAAAGTATTGGTGATAATAATGAATGGATGCTTTATTTTTTCTTATCAGCAGTGATGACAAGATGGCCTTTGGTTGTGAGTCTCGATTTTAATGTTTGGATTTCAACGTCTGGGGGAAGATTGTAGCTTCGGCTGATTTCTCGTCTAATATCACCGAATTGTCCTTCTTTTGGTTCTCGCAAACATCGGACAACTAACCGATCACCAATTACTTTAACCTAAACATAGGGTGATTGATTGTCTTTTGAAAATGCAACATTTGAAGTAAAGTGGGTTTTCGAGCTAAATTCCCAAAATTGACTTTATGTGAAAAATTCTCGGAGAAAGCAAAAGTCATGTAAACAGACTTACTTCGATCTCTTTCGGTTGGAAATAAACAGCTTCAAGGATCACTTCAAATTTTTCATCGGTGTTGACAACTTTTACCATGCCATCATCCTTATTAAGTGGCCAATCCCATTGATCAATCTTTTTTAAACTGTTTGAAATATCCACATTTATCGTCGTCATTGGTATCAATACTTGAAATGCAACAATTGCTTTTTTGTAAAATTACTCAAATTAATCGAAGAATTCGAAATATTTTCAAATTTTATGAATTTTGATGGATAAGTGGTATGGTTAATGAAGTGACGATACATTTTGACGATAGTGTCATAAAAATTATTGATATACAAATGTCATCATTATTTAATCTTACTGGAAGAGATAATGCGTCAAATGGTGGTACAGTTCGAAGTTGCCTACAAAAATGAACTCATTTCTGTACTGTTAATTTTTAGGCTTGGGAATTGAGGGAAATTGTTAATTTTTAATGGATAATGTTTAGTGCTTGGAAATTAAGATGGTCCATTGCGTTATTATAAGTCGTAGGAAATTCTGCAAAAGAAAGCTAATGTTTGAAAAAGCATCAAAAGTTTATGCGTCACAATCCTTTCCTCTTCTTGAGAACAGAAATCTTACGGTGCCAAAATCTGCGCATTTCCGAGGAACTCTTCCAGAAGTCTCCATCAAATAAAGAAGCACAAGAATTACAACTCTCTTAGTTGAAATGGTATAATTAATGCTATAAATTTTCACTATCCAATGGTTTACTGAACTGAAAAGATTTTAAAATCCTTTGCAATAAATTTTTGAGAATTTTAATGGATTTGAAAAAAGGATAAATATGACATGAAAAGTTAATAGATTCATAAGTGGCAACTATAAATATGAACATATTTCATAAAGAAATAGTGAAATAGTAAAGATTTGAAAAGTTGATAACAAATATTTGAAGTAACATACATCCGGGCGAAAGTAACGGATAAGATGTTATCTGGATGTTGGACAAGAACAATCAAGAAGAGTTGCTTGTAAGCTAAAAGAAATTTAAAATGATGCTGTGGCTAGATGTATGTATATATTAATAGCTATAGCTAAGCGCTACTGATATCTGTCTGGTCAATTATCTATTTGTTGCAATTAACATTGTAATCATTCAGGGTGGAGCATTTTCCAGAAATTTGTATTTGTAAAATTAAATTTTGAAAACTTACTTCACTAAATTTCATCTCTTTTTGATACTATTTATGTTTGAAGAAATAGAAAAATAAGCATTAAAGAAAGAATTGGAATAATTTACAATCCAGTTAAAATGAGAGCACAAAGATAAAACATATGGACTTCAGACATCCAATCAACAACATTCTCGAAACATTTTTCTACAATCAATACAGCACACCTACTATTTTGTCATTTTAATTAATCTGTTCTTATTTTATTATCAGTTACAATTTCACTTTGTAAACAAAATAAAAGTGAAATGGTAAAGGGATGATATAAAGTATCGATTGAAATAATTCCTTTCCAAACAATTTCGCTTTTTCATTTCAATTCCACACTACAGTTAAGAATGGAAAAATGATGTGCTTAATTTTTTGTTTAATTTTTGCTTATAATATGTTATTTTTTATATTATTTTTCTTTCTATAAATTTTTTGTATCAATTTTATTTTATAAAACTGTTGAAAACAAGAAATTCATTTTTTGTTAAAAGTAGCTATACAGCATTTCAAGCATATCGCTTACATTCTTTCTTATGAACGACTCAAAATATTCCGGATTGATTAAAGTTGAACAAAGGAATCGAAATTATTAGTATTGTGCATTATTTATTCACAATAATATTTGCACATTCTATTTGTTCATAATTAAAAGTTTCGAAATATGCAAATATTACGAAAAATTTTGAATATGAAAGCATTGATGGATATGTTAGCAAATAAAAAAATTATTTTATGCATAATTACAACATTAGCTTATAATTCTTAATAAAATTTTATTTTGTTAAGAATTACGAGTTAATATTTTTTGGCCGTCAAATAAAAGAGAAAAAATCAAATTTCGTTATAGATTATCAATTTATGGTATGAGTTATTTAAATTATTTATTGAATTTAGATGAAGTAAATGAG